TTAGATCTTTTCAGCTTCCTTGAAACTCTTTTCTGGGTTTCTGTGATGGTAATCAGTATCAGTTAGGATGCTTTGGGATGCAGGTAAAAGAAACCTTGATCCAAACTGGCTTAAACAATAGTTGATCTCACTACAGTAAGCTCACACCGAGGGCTGGCTCCCAGCACTAATGATTCAGCAGCTGAACATTATCAGGGACCTAGGTTCTTTTTGTTCTTCCATCCTAAGCACCAGCTTCATCCTAAGATTAGTTTCTGTCATGATCATAAGATGACTGCAGTAATTAGGGCAGCATGCTTCCTGTTCTCAGAGGACTGAAGGAACATCTCCTTAATCATGAAATAAAATCCTTTATCTTATTGGGCCAAGGTAGGTCACATGTCTACCTCTGGAACCATTACAATTCACCAGGCACAGGGCCAGGCACTAATTGGCTGAGTTTCATGGCTTTGTGTGGTGAGGAGTGAATATTTGAACAGAATCAGGGCTCTCTTTACAAAGAAGCAGGAAGGGATAGATGCTGAGTAGGCAACCAACAGTACTCACAATATTTGCTTTCTTGATCTTCCCTGTGGCTGTTCTTCTTAGTCTCTTTTGTGCATTTCTCCTTCTTGGACCACCACTTAAATGTTGGTGGTCATTATAAATCTACCCTTGGTTCTCTTCTATTCAGGCTACACTCTCTCCATGGGCCATCCACTCTGTTTCTTTGACGACTATTGCTAATCTGATGACTCCTAATAAACGTGTATCTCCAGCCCAAATGTCTCTTCCAAACTCCATACCACAAATTTAAAAAAACTAGTTAACACTTACCCAGTACTTCCCGTGGTAGGCAGAATAATGCACCTTTCTATCCCCCAGGATGTCTATGTCCTAATACCCAGAATCTGTGAATACTTTAGGTTACACAGAAAGGGAATTAAACTTGCTAATCAGCTGACTTTAAGATAAGGAGATTATTTTAGATTATCCACATGGGTCCAATATAATCATGAACATCCTTAAAGTGGAAAAGGGAGGCAGGAGAGAGAGAACAGAGAGATGGCAGCATGAGAAGGACTTCACCAGACCTTGCTGGCTTTCAAGATGGAGAAATGGACCCATAAGCCAAGGAATATGAGCGGGCTCTAAAAGCTGGAAAAAAGCAAGGAAACAGATTCTCTTCTAGAGCCTCCGGAAGGAATGCAGCCTTGCCAACACTTTCATTTTTGTCCAGTGAGACCCATTTTGTACTTATGACCTTCAAAACTGTAAGATAATAAACTTGTGTTGTTTTAAGCCACGATGTGGCAACTTTTTACAGCCACAGTAGGAAACTGATACACTTCCCATAGTAACTCATACAAGTGAACCTCCGTTTTCTTCACCAATCGTGCTTTCCTTTCTGTGTTCCTGTTTTTTAGGGGCTTGCACCACCATATACCTAGTTATCCAATCAGGAGTCATCTTTGTCCTCTTTGTCTACCTCTTTACCACATTTAATTTGTCACCAATTCCTGTCAGTTCTTTCTCCCTGTAGAGTAACTCCTCCATTCCATGGCATCTCCTTGCCATTACCTTTTTTTTAGGTTATAATTTTGAGAGCTTGTTTGGAGGTTCTAGCAGGGGAGTGCAGCTTCTAGTATACCCTTGACTGAAGACCGGTCCTCTTCGACCAAGCATGCAGGTTTGGGAAGGATGCATATGGAGTGGTGAGGGAGGAAGAGGACACCCACCTAGCCAGCCAGATCAGCCAAATCAACCCTAGCGATTAATGGGGTGACAGATCGCCCTTACACTCTCAGGTTATAATTTTGAACTGCTAGAGTTACTATGTAACAATGAAGTTTCCTGTTCTACTCTAGTCTGTTCTCTATACTTTCAGATTTTATTTTTATTTTTTTGAGACTCATAGGAGGGAACACATTTCACATCAAGATCTAGGGCACACACACACTTCTGAAACAATACTTCTCATACTCTTTTGTCGTATATACTGATATTTTCTATTCTAGGTATTTAATTTTTTAAAAAACCAGCTATTTGTGGCTCACTATAATGATTTCATAACTGATCGATGGATTATGACTTGTAGTTTGAGAAAACATTTTTCTATGTGGCTACCAGAATGCTTTCTAAAATACAACTGTTTTCCTCAAAATCCTTTGATGCCTCATTATTCTAAGGATAAAGTTCAATCTTTAACATGGCTATTAAGACCTTCTATTATCCAGTCCTTTTCTTCAATTGTAGCTTCATCTTTCTCTACTCTAACTGGTTCATATTACAACCTTCCCTAGCCACTTTCTGGATTCAGGTTGTGTCTCTGGGCCTTTGCAAGTTGTTACCCTGGTCAGACTGGCTTCCACATACCCCCTTCTTGTAGCTAATACCACTTATTCTACCTTCTTAACTTAGACCTCACTTCCCTCTGAATGCTTTCGCTGGATGCCTAGGCTGGGTTAGATGTCCCTTCTGCCTTAGGGTCTCTTAGCACATGGGACTTCCTCAATGGCAGTGTTTATCACCCTCAATTGCAACAGTGACAGTGCTGCTTAAGAGTAGAGATGGGGTTTTGATCCATGTGAAATATCTAGTAGGCCTTAAGTAAATATTTATTGAATAAATACATGAAACTTTTTCAGAGGACTCCCATCTCAAGTCTATTGAGTAGGTATTCTTACGTATTCTTGTATCGTTGGATATTTGGGTTTGTTGACAGTATAACGTGTTATAAAGTTATCGTAGAAGACACAGATCTGGAACTGAAATGTCTATGTATCCACAACTTGTTTGCTGACTCATTAAATAGTTTTTAGAGTTTAGCTATGTGTGAGGCAGCAGGGAACACTGGATTCATGATTCACTAGATCTGTCCTACTGAGACATAACCTAGCATATCTAAGTTTCAATTTCCTCATCTGAATTCTAACACTCTAGCTAATATTTAATCTTGGATGTCCTCAATCACGCCAAATTCCATTTGTATAGTTCATGGGACAATAGCATGCTCTTAGGACTATTATGAGAAGCGAGTAGTTTAAATAATATAAAAATACTTTGCAGATATTTTAGTTATTATTACTACATACAGACACATGTGCCTATTGTCAGGTTATGCCAACACCTTAGGCTTCATTGATTAAGGATGAAAAGGATGGACAGAGCATCCTCTGAAAAGTATAGACAGAGCATACTGATTATCCTGGATGAGAAAACCTCATGAATTCTTAGACTTAGGTATAACATGGCCTATGATATCATGAATTTTTATTCAGAGAGTTTCCTCCTCAGAACATCTCTGTTCTTTTAAAAGAAAACTAAAATATCATTGTATCTTATTTAGTTTTTAATATCAGCTTCAGGGTATTTTATGAAGCTTTTATGGGCAAGGATGCAACATAATCAAACATCATCAGATTGGCACATGGTGGTATTTTTATGGTGGGAGGAATATTAAGCCCAAATAAAAATGAGAGAACAGTTAATTCCTGAGCTCTGTGTCAGCCAGACCTATGATACTATTTGGTTATTTATGCACAAGGCCTTCAGAGTTTACTACAAATTAAAGAAGGGTAACTATATACCCATCTTCATTTCTTTTGGTCACCCCTGTGAATTGGTGCAGCAGAATTTCTTCCTTTGAAAGTTAACAGGTCATAAAATACCTAAAGAATAAACTATGCTTCAAGCATTTTGGATATGTCATGACACTGTGCTAACATAAGAATAAAAATTCAAAATGCTTCCCCTCAAATCAGATTAGCACAAATAAATGATTTAGGAATAATTTTCTCATTTTTTCCTCAGTTACTGCTACGGTTTGGATGTGGTTTGTCCCTTCAAAACTCTTATTGTTCAAGGCTTTTCCTTTGGAAAAAAAAAAAAAAAGAAAAAAAAAAACAAAACTCTTATTGAAATTTGATCTCTAATGTGGCAGCATAGGGAGGTGGGGCCTAGTGGGAGGTGTTTGGGTCATGGGGGTGGATCCTTCATAAATAGATTGATGCAAGGGGGGTGTCTGAGTGAGTTCTCACTCTCATGGGAGTGGATTAGTTCCCGAGAGAGTGGGTTGTTAACAAGAGTCTGGCTTTCTTGGTTTCTCTCTCTTGCTTCCTCTCTTGCCATGTGATCTCTGCACACACCCACTCCCCTTCTGCTTACTACCATGTATGAGACCCTCACCAGATATAGCTGCCCAATCTTGAACTTCCCAGCCTGCAGAACCATGAGCTAAATAAACCCATTATTTATAAATTACCCAACCTCAGGTACTCTGTTACCTTACTAAGACAGTTACCTTACAATCTAATTGGAAGATGGCGCAAATTCATCAAGGAATACAAAGTTGGCGAAATTATGTAGATTAATACATAAGAAGTGTAAAGTTTTGTAAATGTTTCATGAAAGAATATAAGTATTCTCATTAACTTTCACTTCATTTATTCAATCCATTTGGTATATATGCCTTATTATTTACCAGGCACTTGTCCAGTTGCTAGGGATATTATGAGGAAAAAGACAAAGTCCTGTCTCATGGAAGTTATATTCTCTGGCAGGTAGGGAGGAGATAAAAAGAACAAAAAAATTAAGTAAGCTTTTTAGATACTGATGCATGCTATAAAGAACATAAGGCAAATTATATAAGAGCGCCTGGAGTGGTGGTCATTTATGGGTGACTAGAAGTATGAATTCTGCAACCATAATGTCCATGTACAAATCCAGGCTCTACAAATCAGTATGTGTATGACACTTGGCAAACTACTCACCCTCCTGTGCCTCAGTTTTTCATCTGTAGAATGAGGATAGTAACAGTACTTACTTCACAGGGTTGCTGGATTAAATAAGTTAATGTGTGTAGAGCAGCTGGTACATAGTGCCAAGTAAGTGTTTTCAATGACTCATTTCCTCTCTGAGTAACTCACATTGTGCTAATAAGGCCTAAATATTAGGAAGGAGCTCAAGTGAAAATATAAATAACTTAGGAGAACTTTGCACCAAATAAAGAACAATTAGACTGACATGAAGCTCTCTTCTTTATATCTGCATGGTATACATTAATGAAAATACATGAAGCTTAAACCATAGCAGCAGCATTCACGATCCATCTTCACATTCGTCAGAACTCTGGTCATTCAGGTCATCGCTGCTTTCTCCTTCACTGTCACTGCTACTATCTTCTTCGCTATCTTCATCGTCTTTCTTAGGATTCTGACCTTTCTCTGCCACAGAAAAGAAGAGGATTGCTTAAAATGTTTCTTAATATTTCCACTCTGAAAAAAATCATAATTCTCCTTGCCCCTCCCTCTACCAAGAAATATGTATATTTGGAACATAAGAGCGGAGCTGAACTTTGCTAACTGTATGTAGGATCAAAGCGGCAGTGTAAGGAAGAAACATATTCTTATCAGTATATAGACATTTGTGGATTTAGGGTTAATTTAAAACACAGGTCTATAAAAATAACTTATTTACTACTATTGTCAATGAAATTCTTAAATAGAGTAAGAGGAAGTAAGGCTTAGGGTAATTTAGAGGGTATTTATTGGATTTCCTTGGAATTATGGCATAACTCCTTTACCACAGGGGGCATCAGCATGTGCTGCTTGTCAGTACCTGATGCCTGGTACCCAAGGAGCCTGCCCTGCTTGAGCAGTTCCAGCCCACAGAGTCATCTCAACCATCCACAGAGGACAAGCTGTTTCACTACAGCATTTAAGACAGCCATTTAGCTTTTTCTTAACCACTTCCTAAAGGTACATTTTGATCATCTCTTGGGATAATGAGCTTTTAAAGAGCAACTGTTTATAGTGCTATGAGAAAGAAAGAATTTCAATTCTTAAAATTACCCATCAGCAGCATTTCTTCAATAAGTGCCAAAAACTCCTTGGCCTCAGGATTTTCTGGTTCGTAGATTAGGACTGAAAATGGACAATAGAATGTGTGTTATTAATGTTCAAAGTGTTTCAGCAAACAGGCTCCTTAGAATGAGATTGGAACTGTCGATCATAGCAGATGAAAATGTACCAAGTGATAAACATTAACAATTATGCCATAGATATATCTAAGTGCAAATAGTGAAAATACTCAACTTATATTCGGTGCTTTGTAAGAGAAATGATCCTCATTACATTTTCTATCTCTTACCCAAAGAATGGAATCTCCAGCACCTCAATATGGCTTCCCTCTTAGGCCAGTAGCCAAAGTATTTCATGAATATAATCACTTCCCAAAGAAGGTATTAATACAAATCCTGCAAAATGTGGAGACTTTGCCAATGAGAAGAATATGTGCCTAGAGGTCTGTTAATCCCTCCTCTCATCTCATCTATCCAATGTCTACATGACATTCTTTATTAAAGGTTTCATCTGAATACAAAGGAACAGAGTATTTTTTTTATGCAACCTCTTCCATGGTAGAGATGCCATTTTCCACATCTTTCAAATAGAGGAAACTGATGTTACTTCTTTCTCTTCATTCTGACAACTTTAACCTTAGTCTACACTCTAGTCATTGCCTGCCTAACAATGTTCTCCCCTCTTCACTGAACGCTTTGTTTTATTGGCACTATTTTGCTGATCCTTTATGTGACTGTGTCATTTTTCTTTTGGATCACACCAATAGACACACCAATAGACTTAGGCTTGTTGGTATGTTACCACCTTCCAGAGGCCAGAAAGATTTACAACTTTTGTTTCAGAGTTTTCTGGACTATTTTTTTCCAGATTTTTTTCTACTGATGTCTCCCTTCATTCTTCCTACCTGCTTTGCAGAATATCCATAATTCTACATTGTCCATTGTGTTGCAACTCCTGCTCGATATTGTGGTGGCCCCCAGGGGGCACTGAAACATCAAGTGTGTTTTTCATCTGACTAAGAGTAAGAGATAATTGGGGCTGATTGGACTAAGCCCTATTGGCTCATGGGCCCCCACGCTTGGATTTTAACCTGACACACCAAACCAAGGGCTTTATTTCCTAATCCACATGAGTTTCTGACTTACAGGTGAAGTGACCAAGAAATAGATTGGACATCTCACAGCCATTCATGAGATGAACAGAGAAAAGTACTTTGGACTCTTGGCTTTCAGTTCTATATAAAAACCACTTTTCTAGGCTGCCCCCACTGCCTGGCAGAAAATGGTATTGAGCAGAGATACCAGTTCTGCATGAGACAGCAGGAAAATGACAAGGAAACATTAGGACCATATAAAAATGGTGTGTTGAAGACAGATAAAATTCAAGGCTATGCCAACAGACAAAATTTCTTGGGGGAACCCAACACAAATTTTTTAAAAGGCGGGCAAAGAGAAAAGAACCTATGGGTACCTGGATGCCAGATGGGAAGCCCTACAGCCAAGTGAAAATATGAATGACTATACTGTAATCAGACAGCAAGAAAACACCCCAGGAGCCTGGGAAACATAGTGAGATTCTGTCTCTACAAAAAAAAAAAAAATAAATAATAATAATAATAATAATTAAAATAAAAAATAGCCAGGCATGGTGGAGCAGGCCTATAGTCCCAGCTCCTTGGGAGGTTGAGGTAGGAGGATCACTGGAGCCCAGGAATTTGAGGTTACAGTGAACTATGATTGGGCTTCTTCACTTCAGCCTGGGCGACAGAGCAAGACCAAGACCTCACCAGACAAGACCAAGACAAGACAAGACTGGGCCCCAGAAACCAGTGAATTTATTCAAGAAAATGAATAAGCACAACATTTCTGAAGGAACAATGATACATTATTTTATAGAAATTAATTGCCTTAGATACAAATAAAGAAAATAAATATACTATAATAGTTGGCCATAGGAGGTATTTCTAGGCTGAATGATCCATAGAAGTATTTATTTTCTAAGTCTCTGCTTCCTTTATCAGAAAAACAAGCTTATTAATCAAATGAGGAAATGGAAACATGGTAGGAAAACCATAAGGCTTTTAAGTTAGCCTCAAATGTAATCCTAACTCTACCACTTTACTGGCTGTGTGACCTTGTATGAATTAGTTCTTGCTTGGCCTCAGTTTCCTTATCTGTAAAGTGGGATTAATGATACCTGCTTCATGAAATTGTCTTAAAAATTAAACAATGTATTCAAGAATGCTCCCATAGTAGGTGCTCAATATATACATATATAAATACATAATCTATGTTTATAAATACAAAGTTATAAACTTATAAATATATGTATAGAGAAAGGGGGAGTGTTATGTAGAGGAGCTAGAAGATGGAAAAAGAGACAAAAGAATATGAATACTATAAGCATTTACATATAAAGTATTTATATGTAAAGTAGATGAGAAAAATTCATTTGTCTGTTACTCTAAATACAGAGAGGGATTCTGGGCACATGTTTCTACTAGCATCAAAGAACTAGCGCTTCCTTCCCTGAGCCAGAACCTGTTCCAGCTCTCTGTTCTTCACTGACCTTGCTTGGCCTTGCTAACCTGGGCCTCCCTGATTTCATACCCGTGGTTGGAAATCTGCCTCAAGGGTAGCGAATCTTATTTTGCACCGGCACCCCAGAACCCTCATTTCTGGGCCTCTTTGCCCATGTTGCCAGTCAGCCCCTACTTCCTCTTGGAAGCAGTGGTCTTTCCCAACTGGCTTCATGGGTCATGGGGCCTGTCTAGGGCCCTCATAGCTCCCTCTCCTGTAGTCTGATCCTTACTTTCAGAAGCACCACTATTTGACACAGACAGAAAAGAGTGAAAAGTGTTGCTGAGTGAGCCAACACCATGAGACAGTGGTGTTTGATGTCAACCTCAATGTGCTTTGACTCCCACCGTCTCTCCAGCTCCCAAGCATAATGTCTGGTACAGAGTTAGTGGTCAATGTGCATTTGTCAGAAGGAAAGAAGGAAGAGAGGGAGGAAGTTTTTAAAAAGGATACGACTCCATTAAGATAGCTCAGTGTGAACTTTTTCATCCCCATTGACCTGGCACTTAATGTATGTTCACTGGTTCAAGTCAGGTCAACAGCATTTATTGAGCACCTGCTGTTTATGTAGCATACTGCAGGGCTAACAGCCAAAACTGACTGATAGATATGGTGAGATTAGTGCATATATTAATATTTATAAGCTTCAGGCAGAGGATTTCTAAAATGATTGATGGATATGGCAAGAAAATATATAAATTCTCCCATGATTAGGCTCAAGAAATTCAGAGAATTGGGAGGTAGAGCTACAGAATCATTCACTTCTATGTTAGCCACCTGAGAGAAGAAAGGTACTGTGAGAGAAAGAGGCTTAGGTTCCCACTCTGGCTGTGTGACTAGGAATGTCACTGTGTCACTGTGAGTAGTGCTGAGCCAGTTGCTCACCTCTCTCTGCTTCAGTTTCTTTATAATAAAGTAGAGTATTGGACATGATTCTACCTCAGGATTCCTTCTGATTGGAAATTCTGTGTTTGTGAGCCACCAAAGATAGTTTTGACCAAAACATTTTATTCAATGGCTCTACGGGTCAAAAGTACTTGAAAGGATTAAAGAAGGCAAATTAATCATCTCAGATATAAAACAGGTAGTGTTAAAGTATTCAAGAAGCCCATTTTAAAAATTAGCCAATGATTAAGAATCCTCTATCCACAGTGGGAACTCTGTGTGAGGCAAGCAAGGGTAGACTCTCAAATCCCTGTGCTGCATTTTCACTCTGAGAACTTTACCATGAGACTTAATTTAAGTCCAACACTCATTAATATTTTGACTCCTACTATCAATAAAGTTTTATTGTGGAGTTGTTATTTTCTATCTGTCTCTTTGTTTATTTATTTATTTATTTTTGAGACAGAGTTGCGCTATATCACCCAGGCTGGTTGGTCTTGAACTCCTGGCCTCAAGTGATCCTTCTGCTTCAGCCTTCCAAGTAGCTGAGATTACAGGTGTGAGCCACTGTGCCTGGTGAATTTTCTCCTTTAAAATAACTATGACTAATATACTAGAGGAAAAGATGGACAAAATAGTGGAAAAGATAGTTGAATTTCAACAGAGAACTGGAATCTTTTCAAATCATTAAATAGATATCCTAAAATTGTAAAATATAATCTTTGACTCACTGAATAGTTTTCACAGCAGATTGGACACAGCTGAAGACAGGATAAAAAGAAACTCAAAAACAGGTTCATAGTAAATATCCAAAATGAAGCATAGAAATAAAAAGAGAATATTAAAAACAGAGTTGATTGTAAGATACACGTAGGACACCATGAAAAAAATTCTAATTTATGAGACCCAGGAAAAGAAGAGAGAGAAAAAGAATAGGGCAGAAGTGGTATTTGAGAAGGTAATGGTCAAGAAATTTTCAAAGCTGATAAAAACACCAACCTGTAGATTTAAGAAAGTCAGTAAACCTCCCAAACTGTATAAATACAAAGAAAACCACAACTCTTTTGAACATTAAGTCAAACCACTAAAAACCAAATACAGAAAGAAAAATAAGGTAGATCAATCATATTGTTCCTTTACTCAAAAGCCTCCAGTGGCTTCCCACTTCCCTCAGGGAGAAAGGAAAGTCCTTAAATTGAGAAAAGATCCTATGCAATATGACAATCCCCTGACCATAACCTCTCTGCCCTCAACCTCCTATCAACGCCCCCTGCTCATTCTGCTCCAGTTACACTGCCCTCCTTGCTGTTCTCACCAGGCACACGCCCGCCACAGCACACTGCTACTCATCCTGCCTGGCACACTCCTCCTCCAGATAACCACGTGGCTAGTTTCCTCAACTTCCTCAAGCCTTTACCCAAGTCCTTCAGTGAGGTCTTCCTGGACCATCCTATTTAAAACTGCTTTGCCTTCTCCCAGTACCTTCTATTCCCTCTTCTGTACTTAATTTTTCTCCATAGCACCTATAATCAATGACACACTATTTATTAATTAATTATCTGTCAACACTAGACATAAACATGGGAACGTTATCTGTCCTGTTGACTGCTATATTTCCAGTGCCTGGAACAGTGCCTGGCACATGGATGCACTCAAATATTTGTGGAATAAATGCATGCTAAGTAAGCTTTGACTGCTATACCACCTGACACTTCTTTTAAACTAAAGGTGTAAAGCTACTAACCCATTATCATGAGGGTAAAGATTTTAACTTATTTTCCAGTGGTAGTAATCAGTCTATGTTAGTCTACATTAATTTATTCCACTAAAAGGTATTCTAGAAGTCAGAACTGGTCCTTATACCAATCAACCTAATTTTCTATCAAGGAATCACTGAGACACTATCAGGGAATTCACTAGACTTATGATAATCAAACCATCTGACATATTATGGAATTTATTTTAAGAAAGAAAGATTGGAAAATGTGAAAGTATTTTGTACTTACTCATCTGACATAATTTTTTTGCCAGGTGGTAGTCTTGCTCCATTTCTGCTCTCAGGAACTGGAAAACAATAAACTCTTCAGAGTAGTAGTCTCAAAGAGAATTTAAATGTCAATTATAAACTCCCTAGAAAAATCTTCCATTAATGATTATTTTGCTTTTAACATTTATACATGTTTTTCCAGGAATGAATCTATAATCAAACAATTAATCAAGGATCTTTAAGGACTTCTGATAGCAACGATGAAGATGATAATGGCTCTGCTCTGTGGCAGCCATACCCTGTGTGTACTACCGAATAACTTGAGAATATATAGGTTGATTCAACCAGTACAGATAGTGAAGACATTAATCACTTTATTATAATATTCCTTTGGTTTAGATATAGGTTTCATTTGTAAACTGAGCCCGTAACTACATGACAGTATTTAGCTGAAAAAAATGTAGACTCAATATTTTCCAGCATTGCTCTTATATATGATTCAGTTTTGCCTTTATTATTTTTATTATATTTTTGTTACAAAGTAATACATATTTTTTATGTAGGAAATTAAAAAGCTAAATAAATACATTCTGTCCCCAATTAAAAAGCACTTATCTTTCTATAATCTAGAGATGTTTATTTTTAATATCTTCATGTATATCCTTTCAGTATTTTTCCATAAACACATATGTATTTATAAAAATTAGAATTATTTAATAACTTTTAAAAAACCCATAGATCATCTTTTTGCTCCCCATGGCATTAAATATTCTTATATATTTTTTGCTTAGGCTACAATTTACCAAACTAATCTTCAATTATTAGCTACTTAGATAGCTTTCATTAAAAATAAAACCCTACATTTTAATGATTGCCCTTGCTTGTGTGTGACATATTCTGAACCACATACAGGCACACAAGTTTTGCTCTGTAATTGATGTGGGCATTGAGTAATATAAAAGAGACATTTCTTACACATTGCCAGATATTTGTTAAATACCCAGGTACCATTTTAAGAAGTAGTTATCTACAAATTTTTTCAGTTTCTACCATGGGTTTTTGTTTTTGTTTTTCCTCCCTACTATAAATGGAACTCTTCTAGAGATTTTTCTATAAATCATTAATTTCATCAAAATTTTAATTTATTCACATATTATCAACAAATGCCATGTTCAACACATGCAACAGAATTCTTATATTTTAAAAAATCTATTCTTGTTTTATTATTTGCAGCTTCAGGATAGGTTTATTTATTTATTTTTTTAATTCAGGATACAGAGAGAAGTAGAGAGAATAATGAAATAAGTCCATATCCCCAATTCTCAGCTTTAAAATTAACATTTTGCCAATCTAGTTTTATCAATATCACCATACACTCTTTCCCCTGCTCTGTTTGGATTATTTTACAGCAGTTTATGCATATCATTTCACTTTATATTAAAAGAAAACCCAATCATAATATTATTTTCATATCTAAAAAATAAAGAATTTATTAATATCATCTAACACTAGTCTACTTAATGAAGTATTAATAATATTAGTCTCAGAAAAAGAAAAGTATGTTATCGATTTCAAAGGCTCCTTTGCATTGACCTATTTATTGTTGCTAACATAAAATATATTTCCTTTTTAACAGTTCAAAGGGCAGTACAATTTTTTTTCACCCCCCCTTCCCCCAAAAGGCAGTAAAATTAAGAAATTCTTGCATTGGATGTTTGCCCAAAGTCCTTGATGAGAATTACATAACACTCCAAAATTAAACTGAAGACAGGTTTAAACAATTGGTGCTAGCTGGGCCTGGTGGCTCATGCCTGTAATGCTAACACTCTGGGAGGCCGAGGCGGGAGGATCATTTGAGCTCAGGAGTTTGAGATCAGCCTGAGCAAGGGTGAGACTCTATCTCTACTAAAATTAGAAAGAAATTAGCTGAACAACTAAAAAATATATAGAAAGATTAGCTGGGCATGGTGGCAGGTACCTGCAGTCCCAGCTATTGGGGAGGCTGAGGCAGGAGGATCGCTTGAGCCCAGGAGTTTGAGGTTGCTGTGAGCTAGGCTGATGCCATGGCACTCTAGCCCAGGCAACAGAGTGAGACTCTGTCTCTAAAAAAAACAAAAATAGTCTGGGCGCGGTGGCTCACGCCTATAATCCTAGCACTCTGGGAGTCCGAGTCGGGCGGATTGCTCAAGGTCAGGAGTTCGAAACCAGCCTGAGCAAGAGTGAGACCCCCGTCTCTACTATAAATTGAAAGAAATTAATTGGCCAACTAATATATAGAGAAAAACATTGGTCAGGCCTGGTGGCACATGCCTGTAGTCCCAGCTACTCGGGTGGCTGAGGCAGAAGGATTGCTTGAGCCCAGGAGTTTGAGGTTGCTGTGAGCTAGGCTGACACCACAGCACTCACTCTAGCCTGGGCAACAAAGTGAGACTCAAAAAAATAAATAAACAAATAAAAATAAAGAAAAAAATACCAGGCATGCAAAGAAGCAGGAAAAATAAGACACATAAGCAAGAGAAAACTTAATCACTAGAAACTGACCTATGATAGAATAGCAGGCAAGCATGTTAAAATAGCTATTATATATATGTGTTATGTGTTCAAAAACGGAGGTAAATATGAACATGACGATGAGAGAAAGGATAAATATAAAAAACTAAACATAACTTCTAGAGATGATACAGTATCTAAAGTGCCAAAAATATAATACAAGATGGGATTACGGCAGATTATAACTTCAAAAAAAAGACCATGAACTTGAAGATATAGAAAAAGAAATGATTTAAAACAAAATACAGAGAGAAAATAAACTAAAAATTAAATGAAACATCAGTGACCTTTGGGGCAACACTGGGTGGTCTAGCATATGTGTAATTGTAGTTCACACGAAGAGAAGGAGAAAGTAGAGGTCAGAAAAAAAATCTGAAGCATTAGTAACAGAATATTTTTCCAAACCTGATAAAGACTATAAACTCATACATCCAAGAATCTCAATGAACAGAAGAAAACATGAGGAAATCCATACCTAGGCACATCATATACATCAATACAGAGAAAAAAAATTTTAAAAGACATTATATATAGATGAATAAAGAAATAATAAAAGCAGATACCTTGTCTACAACTATGCATGCTATGAGACAATGGAGCATCCTTTCAAAACATAGGAAAAAATTTGGCAACCTAGAATTCTCTATCTAAATATTCTTTAAAAATGAAGGTGAGGCTGTGCACAGTGGCTCATGCCTATAATCCTAGCACTTTAGGAGGCTGAGGCAGAAGGATCACTTGAGGCCAGGAATTCAAGACCAGCTTAAGCAACAGAGTGAGGTCCTGTTTCTACAAAAATTTTTTAAAAACAGCCAGGCATGATGGTGTGCACCTGTAGTCCAGCTACTCGGGAGGCTGAGGCGGAGGATCACTTGAGCCCAGGAGTTTGAGGCTGCTATGAGCTCTGATGAGATCACTGCACTCTAGCCTGAGCAACAGAGTGAGACCTTGTCTCAAAAAAAAAAAAAGAAGATGAAATGAAGAGTTTTCAGACAAGCAAAAGGTGAACAAATTCACTGCCAGCAGAATTGCATTATAAGAAATACTAAAGGAAGTTTTTCAGATGAAAGGAAAATATCAGGTAGAAATTACGATTCACACAAAGCTATGAAGACTACCAGAAATTGTGTACATGCGGGAAAATAAAAAGGACATTTTAAAATCTCTTTAAGAGATAATTGACTATTTATAATAAAAATAATAATGTATGGTGGGACTTATAACGTATGTAGAAGTATTAAGAAAATGTATGACATCAATATTACAAAGGATGGGAAGGAGAAATGAAAGTGTCCTGTTATGAAGTTCTTACCGTATACATGAAGTTATATAATACTAATGATAATTAAAGGTAGACTGTGATACCACAGCAAGTGTGGTAAAACTGCTTTGTTCCCCATAGAACTACCAGTAAATGTTTCTGTGCCATTTTGAGTGTGCTGTTGCAGGCTTCAGTGCCTTTGCATGTGCTGTTTCCTATGCCAGAGATGCCTTCTCCACGTATTTACCAGATGAATTCCTGTCCTTCCCTCTCTCTTCAAGTTTTTAAGATTCCACTTATGTCTCTTCCTCTAAAAATCCTTCTCTTATCCCTTGTTCCTCCTGCCTCTCTTTTCCCTTATTCCTTCTCCTCAATTAGTCACTTTGTCCTTCCTGTTCAGAGAAGCTAGGCTGACGCCATGGCACTCTAGCCTGGGCAACAGAGTGAGACTCTGTCTCAAAAAATAAATAAATAAATAAATAAATAAATAAATAAATAAATAAAAAGGGCAAGGACTTGTCTCTCTTATTTATCGCTATATCCCCAACAACCAGCATGGTGCCAGCGTGTAGAAAGCAGTCCTTGAAGAGTTTTGTACCAAAACTTCTCTTACTTCTGCCTCTGCCTTTCTAGAATGCAATAGGTCCCTTCCAGGATCTTCTTTCAACTCTAACCTGGTAAAAAGTATTATAGTAACAACAATGAGTAGTTAGTTAAGGATCTATATGTGGGCAAGGGTCTTTTTGCTAATTTTTTAAAAATACTTATTTTTTAAATGATATACAATAGGTATACTTATTTTGGGGGTACATGTGATATTTTGATACCAATGTGTAATGATCAAATCAGAGTAGTTGGGATCCATCACCTTAAACATTTATCTTTTCTTTGTGTTGGGAACATTATAATTTTTCTCTTCTTATTTTGCAATATACAATAAATTATTCCTAATAATAATTTCTCTACTGCACTACTGAATACTAGAACTTATTCTTCTGTCCAACTGTATTTTTGTACCCCTTGCCAACTTTTCTTCATCCCCCTCTTTCCCTTTCCAGCCTCTGGTAATCACCACTCTACTTTCTACTTCCCTGAGATCCACTTTTTTAGTTTCCACAAGAGTGAGAACATGCAATATTTACTAATTACTTTAATCATCAAGGTTATTTATTTAAATATTTTTAAGTGTCCTAAATTATAATGCACAAGAAAAACTTACCTCTGCCATTAACTCTAGTGGGGCACAAGTATCCTTTTTAGGGTTACTGTCTTCCTCATTATCTTCATCATTGCTATCATCTTCATCATCATCATCTATTGATTCTGACAATTTATCGTCACTATTCTGAAGGCAAAATTCATTATTTTTCTCCTGCTTCACAATGACTTCATCTTTGCCCACTTCACCTGAAACAGAATATGCATAATTTAATCAACAAACATTGAAAAGTTCAAAAATTAAATATTATTATTTGTGAAAAAATTAGATCTTATTATCTGTGAAACTGATATAGTAAATAAAAGTAACATCATCATCATAACAAAATTATATTCTGAACACTATGTATTTTAACTTATTTAATTCTCTCAACATCAATGAGGTAGTATTTAGAACTTTTTCTCTTGTAAGATTTTGAGTGCCTACAAAGTCATTTGAGATGCCCTCTCTGATGGGAGTGTGATGAACTCCTCTTATTTAGAGTATAAACACCTGTTAGAAAAAAGAAAACGAGGAAACCTCTGAAATCTCCAGATAAGACAATGTTAAGAAAACACAGAGAAAAAAAAGATAAAACTTAAAACTTTTGCTGACTCTAAAACAAATTCCTGACTCTGAACCGAAAGTGCTACCCTGAAAAGGAATATCAAGTGCTTCCAAGAGTTCGATGGCTGCATCATTCAGGCACCCCTACCTGCTTCTGTTTCAAGTACAGTCTCCATGAGCTCACGACCACCCTAACCTTCCAGTGTGCGTCCAGCCCAGGTGCTGAATCGCCACACTGATGCCTCAGAGGAAGGTCATAATTAAGAATTAAAGACATCCTGTGATGTCACAGAAACTGCCACATTCACATCACAAACAGCATCATGAGAGGTTTCCTGATCCCTACAGCTGCAGTAATCCTCTCCCCAGGTGCTGTTCATTCCTCTTGTAGCACCTATCACAACCTGAAATTGTTTTGCTTATTTAAGTGTGTGTATGTCTTTGGGGTTTTTTGTTTTGTTTGTTTAGCCCTGCCTACGCAAGGCCTCAAAACATTTGGTTACCAACTCACAATGGTTTCTCTCCACAGAAATCTTTAGTAAACGGGGAAAGATTTATTTGTTCTAAAGAAAAAACAGAGCATTGTGTATGTATTTTTTTTCCTCCTAGACAAGTTCAGTAGTGAGAAGGAGGAAAGAGTAGAATGAGGAGTTTGATCTGTAACTGTGAATAATCAACTGAGATAACTTACTACCTTTAGACCAGACTACTGTTATTTATTTCTAATAGTTGGCTGTCTTCTACTAGAATGTGGACTTCATAAGGGCAAGGACTTTCCCTATTTTGCCAACTATTGTATCTACAGCTTCTAAACCAGTGCCTGGCAGTCTGGATTTCAACTGTTGTTAAATGAATGGAACTTGTTAATGCTCTCCTAGGTATTTTAATTCATTCTAGGATTTAATGCCTGGTCATTTCATCTTAGGTAACATATGACCATGGATCTCACACCTGGCCGAATGTGAGAATCACTTGGTACATAAATTTGAGAAACTACTGATTCCCATGACCTGCCCTAGACTAACAGAGTTGTCAACTCCCAAAGGTCACAGAAAAGGAGAGCTAAATTGAACCACAGTTATGAGTAATAACTCAATAAAACAAATGTTATTACCTGAACTTTCTTTTAAGAAGGAAGATGACCACTGGTCAGACTGTAGATTTAAGGTATCTTTATTTTCAATATTCTTTGAAGATACTCTATTTTCAGTATTCTTTAAAGAGACTTTATTTTCAATATTCTTTGAAGAGACGTCCTTCCTAAATGTTAAAGTGGATAGTGAAAAAATATTTTCCTAGGTCACAATTCTGTTTAATGTTTTTATGGTTCATAAACACACACACTACATTTAATATAAACACACTATAATATACCAACAATAAACTAAATAGCTAAAGTGTATTACCTTCTTTGTGGAAAAGCATTACAAGTAATTGTTATTGGTGATTAAAATCCTATTTTGACCTAGCATTTGTTACTATGTAATAATTCTTGTAATCTTTTCAGAGTTCTTTAACACAGCATTTAAGTAATCAGTTATATAAATGTCTTTGGTACATCATTATGATATGATAGAATAAAACTATTTAAGGAATAGCCTTAAGCCTTGAGTTTTCCTTTTTTTTTTTTTTTTCACTCCACAGCCTTCAGTTTCATTGAGTTTTATTTCTAAAGTTTGTAAATTGATTCCTGCCATTGCTAACCACTAACCTATGAAGAGAGTCCAACAGTAATATTTACCCTTGGTCATAATATAAAATAGCCTTTTTCATTAAGTAGCTGAACTATAATAAAAATGGGTTAATTTTCTCTTTTAGCCTTTAGACTTGAAACTTCATGTTAATAAGTAACGCATTGATACAAGGGATTCCTATGTAGCACACTCTGTTCATAAAGACAGGTACCCAGGCTTGTGGAAAAATAACCATGAATCTCTCTTTGAAGTCTTAAGAATCTTTCAATATGTCTCCTTTACAAAGTTTTAAATATTCAACTTCTAGTTGGCATGGAAGTATGTAGAAAGATGTAAAGTATTATTTTTTCCCCAAAGTTATAGTAGCTCCGTTTTTTCCCCTCATTGAAATGTAAATCCAAAACATTAGTAAAGTTAGTGATCTTGTACACTGATTTAGCGAATAGGTTGACCAGTTTGTTATAATAATACTATGAGGAGGGAATGGAATCTTTACTTCTCTACTATATATGGCTAAAGCAAAACCAACCCTTCTCTGGAAATGAGACATGCACAGCAAAGATGATTTACATTTATTCGGTCTCTGCCCCCTCAGTCTTCTAATTTTGAAAGAAAGCATCCAAGAAGAAACTCTACAGATGAAAAGTTGAGAAATCACTGAAATGTTCAGTTTACAGTATGGTGAGATTTCTGTTATGCCAAAGGTCACCGCACAAGTGATTACTAGAGTTTATATGCTCTAGTATCTAATCTAGAAGAAAGGACTATGATGCCTTTTTTCTTCTCAGAAATTACAGTATTTCATTGAATCTAAGATACCATCTATTTAATATAAGACATGTCATGTTTTATGTACCACTGAAAAAGGAAAAGCTTTGCCAAATGTAAGTCTAAAATGACATCAATTGTAAGAGATGTTAAAATATGAAAAAAATGTGTGCTATAGAATTTATGAAATATGGTACTTTTATATTCACTAAGTTACATCCCTAAAAAGGAGAATTTAGGTAGTACAGTTCTAGGTATTTGAATAATTGTGAATGACTTTAATAATCTTTATGAAACACACATAGAAGCAGCCAACATACCCAATGACCTGAAGATTCACTATTTGGAAGCAGTGAACATGCCCCAAAAAGATCTATGTAAGAATTGATCAAATCATGATTTTAACAGTAAAATCTAAATTCCTTTTCTGCTCACTTCTGTAGTCTTTCTCATATACTGTATAGTTTCAAAGAATCAGAGGCTCAAAGTTCAACCTTCTCTTCAATTAAAATCTATTGACTTCCATTTGAGGTGACATTATTTATGGTAAAAAGGCCTCTAACCACAGAAGAAAAACAGATAACTAGTATGCTCTAAAAGATTTGTTTTTGTTAACTTCAACTTACATACAGTTACAACTGAGGAAAGATTCAACATTTTACTTTATGGAATAATATCCTTTCAAATTGGAAGGAATTTAATGTAGTACTTAATAAAGTTACAGAGTTGGTCAGGTTAGATATTCCACTGGAACATATTTATGCTAGCAGGTAGATAACCTAGGTTTTAGGATTTCTCCATAGTATGTGAAGAGCACTGGGTATATTTAGGAAATGTCCCCCAAATTTCTATTGAAATTAATAATTTTTCCAGGAGATTCATATTTTAAACTTTGTCTTAAAATGATTTAGAGTTGTCAAACATGGGCTTAAAAAACAAAATTAACTAAAACTTACTTTTCTGACAATGTCTTAGCTACATTTAGAGAGACTTGTGTTGGTGAGGCATAAAGTTTGCTTGCCAATCTTGCTTTGTGTCCAAAGGCGCATTTACTTAAAATGTAAAAATGGGAATAAAAAATAGTTTGTCATTCAGTTTATAAAAGATGATAAAACATGATTATGTAATAAAACCCTATAGATACAATTTTTTAACCTCAGTCAAGGAGTTGAATGCTGTGGATTTGTTCCAGCCATTTTCCCCTTACATCTTTAAGTCTGCTTAAAAGTTTGACCAAAAAACCATGGATCAAAGGCCCAAGATCTAGAAAACGTTGTCCAGAGCCTAAAGGTATATTTTACTTCTACTGAAAATAGTTTGTTAATTAAAAGCAGTTTGTTGGATAAACAAAATCTTTTACACATTGGATTTATAGGAGAAAAAAGGAAATGATAAATGTGGGCTTTGTGTGCCCAGAAGTTTGAAATTCCTGGTTTATGGGGTCCACACACTCGTGACTGGGACTGGATTGGAGAATCAGAAGACTAAGGCGAAGAACTGGTGGGAAGAGAAAACTTCTAGTTTTCTCTAATCCATAGCAAGGGCCTTTTGGCAAATTTCACTTGCCAGTCAGAATATGAAGCCAGCCCCAGGATGAAGAGTGGAACAGAAGCTACACCGAGGAGAAAATATATCAGCTTTGCAAATCAGTCACACTCTTCCCCAAGCAAAGGTCCTCCAGGATTTTCTATTTTATTATTTCATCATTTTTTTTCCAGGACTGGCCCTGTTTACTTTTTCAACTCTGGGTGAGGTACCTAAGGTGGCAAAGCCATACACTTGTGCCACTTACTGGCTATACTAAGCACCCTTGCTCTTCTCTGCAAGCAAATTAAAGGGAACATGATCATTCTGACCTTGAAAACGTAGTTTGATAGGCAGATGCAATTATTACGGACATCAAGAAAACCTGTAGTCATTCCCAGGCTGCATCTGATTTATCCCTGGGCTTTATCCACCTCAGGATAGATCAGGATGTGGAGTACCCGTTGCTCTAGTGCCAACACTACTTATCAAAGTCTATGAACATTGTAGCTCATGGACACAACTGTGATTTATTTTCATCAGTGACCTATTAACTTTTATTATTAGTGAAAGTTATATCTCATATTTCCCTCAAAGACAACTAAACATTTCTTAGATTTTTTTTATTTAAGTATTTTCAACCATGTAATAGAATACATATAATTACATGTAAATTAATATATTTAACAGGTCTCTTTTTCTTCTGGTTAGTTATACCTTTAAATTGAAATAAACATAAATCCTCTGCCATTGATCTGCTATACATTACTTTCTCTTTAATATAAAATATGTATTATATTTAATATAAATATATATAATATATCAAGAGCCAAGGTAGACATTTTTAGTCTTGACAATATGAAAATTAAAATATGTGTTGGATAAGGTAGGATTTTTCCCAGCCAATAATATTCAGAATAAACCAAAACAATATAAATTTAAATAGAAGAATTCCACCAGAATGGTACCTACAAATTTGTCAATAATCCCTACAAATATGTTTTTTTTTTTTTTTTTTTTTTTTAGACAGAGTCTCACTTTTGTTGCCCAGGCTAGAGTGAGTGCCGTGGCGTCAGCCTAGCTCACAGCAACCTCAAACTCCTGGGCTCAAGCGATCCTCCTGCCTCAGCCTCCCGAGTAGCTAGGACTACAGGCATGCACCACCATGCCCGGCTATTTTTTTTTTGTATATATACTTTTAGTTGGTCAATTAATTTCTTTCTATTTTTAGTAAAGACGAGGTCTCGCTCAGGCTGGTTTCGCCTCCCAGAGTGCTAGGATTACAGGTGTGAGCCACCACACCCGGCCTACAAATGTGTTTTATGTTCAACTTTCAAGCTGTAATTTTTCATAGAACAAATAATAGCTTTTTTTCCTCCAGAAAGTAGGAGATGATCATATCAGGAAGGGCTTTAATAAGTCATCAGAATCAATGCTTTCAACAGAACAGGTATTTAAAATTTAACTTCTAAACTGATATTATACTGTGATTTTTTAACACTAGTGTCTTCAATGAGATAAGATGATTACTTTATTTAGTAGTAATGACTCACATTATAGTAAATAAAGAGTTTGCTTAATTTTAAAGAAAATATTCACTTCAAGAGATATTCTGAAAGAATAAGCTAGTATCAAAGGGAAATAGGAATGAAAATTATTATGTAAGTAAAACACAGAATATGTGATGTTTAAGCATTAAAAACTGGACATGAATATTATCTATACCTCTACATTTTTATCAAAATTCACTTTTCATTTTAAATGGCCTTCTATCTAAGTAACAATTGCTTTGGCTGAACCACAAGCTGAAGTGCTAATCCATGCATTTCTGGCCTTTCAAATTTAATTGGGTGACAAATGGTTGCATTATCTAGTTCTAATTGCTTAAAAGGCATGTGATAGATCAGCTGCGCAATGAAAGACATCTTCTTACTCTGACATTGCTTCATTTGGTTCCATCATCACTTTTTCTGAAAGAGAAGGAAAAAAAACCCTCAGTATTTTATTAACAATGATGTCTCTAACATAAATTTATAATTGGCAAATATTTAGGATTTTTTGAAAGACAACATAACAAAGGATTGAATTGCTAAGTCACTCAACCATTCCAATATTCTTAGTATTTAGGACAAAACAGTGGTCAAACACATTCTTTCTAAGGAATAAATCATTTACCCTTTGGATCAAACACTAGCAATCTGCCAGTCTGTCTATTTTTTGGTGCCTAAAATAGAAGCAGAAATAAAAACTAGCATTATCATTATTATTTTAGTTTGAGGTATTTGAAATAATGATTCATAGCCTTCATATAAACATTTCTACTATCTAGGCTAAAATGTAATTTTATACTAAAGCCAATTATTTACAAACTCTATAAACTGATGGTAAAATAGATTCAATGCATCCATTGCATTGAATTGAAAAAAGTTTATATACTTTGAAATTGAAAAAAGTTTATATACTCTTACCTTTATAGCATCTGTCCTGTCTAGATAATTCCTGCAAAACCAAAATATTTACTAGTCTCCAAATACTTGTATAAATTTAAAACATAAATAAAACAGAACCCAGAATTCAGTCTGTCAGTAGAGTATTAAGTATAGATTTGGGTTTTGTATTTATTAGCTTTATTTCCATCCTAAATACAGAACATCATTCTTCTGAATTATGAAATTGAGTTAAAAAAAATCTAGAAAAATTTAGCCTTCCTCTCTCCCCATCTTATCTTAGAGTTTATATAAAAAGAGATATAGGAATAATTTTGCATGGAAGAAAAGTGATTCTAATTCTCTGTTACTTTTTTGTTTTATATGATGTAGACTCTACATCTAGATCCAAATACAATCAACAGCAGGCTAAGGACACTCCTTTCTCCTGAGCTGACCTTAGAAATCATGAATTCATCTTGGTTCACATCTATACCATTTCTTTCCTGAACTTCAACAAAACAAAATACAATATGTAAATTATACTATTTGCCACATTCCAGTTTTTGTGTGTTATGAAAACACCTTTTAGAATGTATGTGACTAGAACAAGAAGACATTTTTCTATGATAATTTAAGATACGGTATTTTTAATAAAGTATTCTAAACAAATACTATAGAAACTGACTTTTGATTTTATGCAGATAATTTTTATTTTATTTTATTTATTGTTTTGCTTTAAAAGACAGGGTCTTGCTCTGTCACTCAGGCTGGAGTACACTGGCTTAATCATAGTTCACTATAACCTCAAACTCCTGAGTTCAAACGATCCTCTCACCTCAGCGTCCCCAGTAGCAGGGACTACAGGGCACCACTACCACACCCAGCTAGTTTTATCTATTTTTTATAGAGGAAGGGATTTTGCTATATTACCACAGCTGGTCTCGAACGCCTGGCCACAAGTGATCCTCCTGCCTCCATCTCCCAAAGTGCTGGGATGACAGGCATTAGCCACCATGCCCAGCCTTTCAAAGATATAATTTAAAATATAATTCTTAAAAGTTCTCTTATGTGTTTATAAATACTTAAAAGTTATAATGTTTTCTCTATGAATTTTTACCTTTTTAAGTTACCCAATGATAGAACTGATTTTCCTATAATTTGGCTCTTCATATATTTAAATAAATTTCATTCAATAGTGGAAAGAAAAACTCTTAAGGTTTTTTTCAAGTATAGGAATGGCTACACTTAAATTTTTCATAAGTAACAATCTACTTGCTCCCCTCCTCTAACACTTCTGTCCCCACATTTTGAGCCAGACCTTAAAAATTGGTATTGTTATTACATACCTAGGGATTTCTGGAATACAAAATTCAGGTCCAATACTGTGGACAACAAAAGAGAAGCGTCATTATTTTGCCCTTTTTGTTTTTTTAAAAGCCATCTCCCATCACTGACTTACACTCCCAAATAAAACAGTTATCCGTAAACTTTTGCCTCAGGCTGCTTTCTGGGGAACCTTGACCAAGCCAGACATTATTTATGTTATTAATTTGATTATCCATCTGAGAAGCTCACAGAGATCTATCTAAAGTCTATTAGAACAGCAAGGTATCTGTTGGGGGAAAATGGTTGTGGAAGACCAAACTCTAGGATAAATGGAAGATGTCTCTGATTCACTAGGGCAGTAAAACTCCAAAGCTGAAACAATGCAATAATGAACTAATTAAGACCTTAACAAAAGAAATCTGAGGCGACCCCTCCTGAGAGGTACTTTCACTCCACAGACTTCCACAATCCTGTGGGTACCCACAGTCACACAGAGCATCACCTTTATGTTTAGAGCCTTCCCCTACTTTCTAGCTCTAGGATCTTCATGGTTTGCAACATTCCACCCTTCACCTGGATGAAACATCAGTGCATATAATTCTCCCATTTTCACCTGGTGAAAAGAAAACCTAGGACAGACAGATCCCAGCCCTTGATGGAGACCCAGGCTCTGCTTGGTCTGGCTTTATCATTACCTAGCAAATGTCCATTTAATCTCCTTTCATAAAATTGAATTCCCTGGGAGGCAGAACAGAGTAATACTTAAGAGCTGGGGCTGTTGAATGAAAGAGACTGGATTCACATCTCGGTTCTGCCACTTCCCAGGTGAGCTTGGGCAAGCTACGTAATTTCTTTAAGCTTCCATTCTTCCATCTGAAAAATGGGGATCACCATGGTGCCAAGTTCACTGGATTATCAGGATTAAATGGGATAATCTGGGTAAAGTGTTTAGCACAGAGCCTGGCACACTAAAGAGACACTATAGAAACAACTTGATGTTTTATCTAAAGGAAAAGCTGAGAAGATGTCCTATGGGGCTTATTAAAATTGCTTAGGGAAACAAAAAGGAGGCTTTACTGTTAATAGGGCAAGCAGACTAGCTCTGAGGGCTTTTAATTAATTAATTAAAAATCCACAAAAGCCCTAAAGTACTGATACTTGTTTAGAAAGATGATTGATTCCAGGGAAAAATCAGTATAATTTAGTACACAAGTAAAGTTAAAGCAGTGACACTGAATAAACCAAGCTGAATGAGGAATGCCTATTATATGGGTAATAGCATTTTTAAAAATAAATATTAACATGTAAAAACTATCTGAAAGGAAATGCTTTCAGAAAAGAAACTGATAATATCGATTGGTTCTGGGGAGGGAAAAGGGATGGCTGCAGGAGTGGGGGGGAGATTTCTACTTTAGGTCCATTTGTACCTCTTGAACTTTGAATGATATAAGTATATTATCTGTTTAAAAAAACAAAGACAATTTAAAATTTGCAATACCATTTGTATTTCTATGTTTATCCATCTCTCACAGGCATGTGAGCAGTATGTTGGCCTTGTGCCACTTTAATTCTCTTGTTCATCCAGTAGTACCTGCTCAAATTGGAGTCATGGAAACCAGAAAGAATAATCATAGGTGCACACCTTGTATACTCATTCCTTTTGATTATGGTTAACGTTAACATCACAACATTCATTTAAGCATCCCTTTAAATCTCGACCAAATGCATCCTCTGGCTTTTGGAACATAGGCTGACTCTCCTGATAATCTTTCAACCGTCCCTGAGGCAATAGGAATAACACAGTTATGATAATTCTAAATTTTCATGCAATATTCAATGTCTAATATTTAAAACAAATATTTGATGAGCCCCTACCATATATCAGATATAACTGAGCTAAGCTCTGAGGCTACAAAGATAATTCTCTACTTTTGAGAAGCTCAGAATCTTACAGGGGAAATAAGTACTAACTTCCTACATGTATGGCACAGACCTTGCTTCAAAGTACTATACCAAAAGCTTCCCTGTAAGGGCTACAACATAACTCCCCATACTGCCCAAACGCAGAGAATGGCAATGATTCGGACCAATCAATCAAACTCTTTCTTTTGGCTCATGGCCTCAAAGTATCTAAGGAGAGTCAGCAGGAAGTGGAGGTAGAACTGGAAAGACAGAGGAAGAGGGAGTCCAGTCAACAGAGCTGCCCCTGAACAACCTTCCAGTTCCAGAATCCAGCTCTAATGCCTGTTCTCTGGGTTTCTTAGATTTCCTCAAGTGTTGTAATTCTACAAGTATCTTTAGAATAAGGTATTGCCTGCCTATAGTCTCTTCCTCCTTATTTGGTTAACACATCGAGCTCACCTGAACACAAAGGCAGTACTATCCCATGACAGACCAATCATAGTAATTCATAAGCTAATACAGTGACGGGACCAAGCCATGGGCCTGTGGACCTGTGATCCAAACTAAGTTCATCACAACCTTGCCCTGAGACATTTCCAAGTGGAACTGTCACAAAGGTAGGAGAATATGAGTTTAGAGCTCCCAGCAGCCATGGTTCTAGCCTCTAGGGAGAGAAAGGCCTGAGAATGAGCGGAATATACACAAGAATCAGGGATGAGAGATGAAGAGATGAGACAGGGGGAGACATACACATCCCTAATGATGTTGCTGTCCCTGTTTCCAACTCAACCTCTGCCTTTCCCATGGGCCAATTAATTTTTCCTTTTTTCTTAAATAAGCTGAGGTTGTTTTTGTCACTTAAAACCAAAAGAGACCTTGACTATAGAGCTCCTACTCCTTGAAACCAAAAAAGACTAACACACTTGATATCATGTAATAAGAGCTACAGTGCTAGAATTAACATAGTCCATAGAAACACAGAGGGAGAAGAAATTAATTCTATCTGCTATGGGAAGCAAGACTGAGTCAGGCTTCAAAATGAAGGTGGCATTTAACCAAGTTGAGACCAAAAAGTCAGTCAATAGAAGAAGTTGGAGTTCAGCTGTGTGTTAGAGGATGTTAATATGTTAGAGAAGTTGGATATGTACAGAGGAGCAAATTATAAAAGTCATTAATTGCCACGTGCTAAGGATTTAGAACTTTGATGAGGAGGCAATGTAAAAGCAAACCAAGGCTTTGGAGGGTGATCACATTATTAGATCTATCTTAGAAAAGAAATTCTGTGGAGGGTAAATCTGAGAACTAGAAGTAGAGAGACTAGTTAAGAGGCTACTGCAATAGTCCAGAGCCAACGGAAATATACACCCCAGATTCTAAAGAGTTAGTACCCGAAAAAAAAGTACTGTAAACATTTCATACACCTACTCCTCTAGGTATGTGTTCACTAACCAATAGACAACAGGGCCAAATAGGTTTTATCTGGACTATACAGACTTCAAAAAAAAAAAAAAAAAACTTTTATAAATTGAATTAACAACATTTATTTTTTTAATTTTCTTTCTTATTTATTTATTTTCAGGCAGGGTCTTGCTCTTTTGCCTGAACTATAGTGCAGTGGTATCATCACAGATCACTGCAACCTCAAACTCCTGGCCTCAAGGGCTCCTCCTGGCTCAGCCTCCTGAGTAGCTGGGACTACAGGCATTCACCACCATGCCCAACTAATTTTTAAATTTTTTTCTATAGAGATCGGGTCTTGCTAAGTTGCTCAGGCTGGTCTGGAACTCCTGGCCTCAACTGATCCTCCCGTGTTGGTCTCCCAAATGCTAGGATTACAGGCATGAACCACTGTGCCTGGCCCAATTACCAACCTAATTACCAATTTAAAATTCAAATTTAAAAAAATATTCTTATTTTGGTTTCTTTTGTCATACTGGAAGACCAGACATATTTTTTCTTCATCCCAACTACATAATTATTTTATAGCTTTGTGCTATTTGTTTTTATAAGCTACTTTGTATTCTAATAAGCAAAGAAAGAATAAATGCATAGACAGCTACAAGCTCAGGCCCTGAAACTGTGATGAGAAGGAGAGACAGAGATGATTAAGCACTATCCTCCATCCTCTAGGAGCTTGTGAGGAAAATGTAATATGATGCAGAGAGAATATTTCACAACATAGTTCCAAATGTATATAAAAATGCTTTCAGGCTGGGCGTGGTGGCTCACGCCTGTAATCCTAGCACTCAGGAAGGCCGAGGTGGAAGGATCGCTCAAGGTCAGGAGTTCGAAACCAGCCTGAGCAAGAGCGAGACCCAGTCTCTACTAAAATTAGAAAGAAATTCATTGGCCAACTAAAAATATATAGAAAAAATTAGCCGGACATGGTGGCATATGCCTGTAATACCAGCTACTCTGGAGGCTGAGGCAGAAGGATTGCTTGAGCCCAGGAATTTGAGGTTGCTGTGAGCTAGGCTGATGCCACGCCATTCTAGTCCAGGCAACAGAGTGAGACTGTCTCAAAAAAAAAAAAAAAAGAAAAGAAAAGAAATAATTCAATGATAATCTATTACTTACATTCATTTTTAAAAGTGACTAAGTATAAATTTTACATATTTCCTTTACAGTATAATATAGTTCTAGGAGTCCAGGTTTTGGAGTCAAATTGCCTATGTTCCAATCCCAGCAAATTGTGTGACCTTAAGCAAGTTCCTTAACCTCTCTGTGATTCAGTTCCTCAACGGTAAAATGAGGATAAAAATGCCACCCTACCTCACAGAGTTATTGTGAGGGTTAACATAAATAGCTATAATAATAATAGTAGCACATCTCCTACTAGAATTACAATTAGTACAACTCCTTCTTCTCCTATCACCATTGTTATTATTACCTACATCCTACCAAGGACAGTCCAGAAGGTGAACTCTGACAAATTAAGCCAGGTCTAAGTGCACAAGTGAGACTGGATAGGGCAAAGAAGGGGGAGAAAAAACTGGGGCCCACGCTTAGTTGGTGAGGGTAGGTAGGAAGGTATGAAATGCTGAAGTAGGTGCAGTGGAATCCCTATAAAAGTGTTGGAATTCAGCTCTGGTAAACTCTTAACACTAAGAGCTATGCTGTTGTTATTGTTGTTTTCCAGAAATTACAAAAACCAAAACAACTTTAGCAAAAAAAAACACAAAAAACAAAAAACCCACAAAAAAACAAAACATACACACACACCAGAAAAAATTAACAAATTGGACTTTGGGATCATTGTATTTAGTTTCTAGGAGAATGAAACAAATCAAAAGACATTTTCAGTGTCCTTTTCTGACATTTTTTAAAAACAACTTTCTGGGGCTCTCTTGGGGTAAGAACAGATTCAGCCAACGATAATTTGGTAACTATGCCCTGTGTTACTTTAAATGCTGCAGGGGCTCAGTGTAGTCTGAACAGTCAAAAGACAGCACTAGCACGATTTTGGAAATTTCAAGTCAATTTCATCACCTCACGGAAGGCTGACATTGGGACTGTAGAAGTGATTCTCATTTTACACAAGATGAATACAAGGCCTGCGAGATTAAACGATTTGTTCAAATTCTACATAAGTTTTTACGGCCGAGCAAGTTATATCTAGCTAGTACTCAGTGAATGCTCACCCCTATTGGCCATTAAGCTGTTTCCAAATATAAGTAAAAGAACGTTGGGCAGGTGCGAGGGCTGAGGGAGGGAGCAGGAAGCCCTGGGATGGGACGCGGCGTTTTAATTGTTTGGGGGAGGAGTTAGCGCGTACAAATCCGCAGGTAAGAGAGTGGCGGCGCAGACACGCCTGTCAGAACCGCGCGGTTATCATCCACACCCACGTAGACACAAACGTCCCTTCCTCGGTGCTCGGCCCCAGCGGGAGGAGGAAGCCGAGTCGAGGCGCACGTCCGGCCGCGCGGACCCTTCCTACCTTCTCCTGCGGCGCCTCGGCTTACCCGCTTGTGGCCTTGTCAAGCCGACGGTCCAAAGGGCAAACACAGAAGGCCAGCTCAGCTCGCGCCTCGGGCTGGGTTTGGAGCCAGGAGGCCGGGACGCCGCGTTGCCATGGAGACAGGGCCGCGCGCGGCTGAAGCCGCGGGAGCGGCGGCCGGTAGAGGGCTAGTGGGTGGGGCGAGGGCGGGGCGAGCCCGGGGAGCGGAGGAGGGGCGGGGATGGGGCGGGCGGAGCCCTGGGAGCGGTGGAGGGCGCGGGACGGAGGGGGCGGGGCGGAGAGGTTCCGGGGCGGGGCCGGAGGGCGGGGGGCGGGGGGGGGGTGGGGCCCGCTCTGGGCGGGACTGAGCGGTGGTGCTGAGGGGACGGGACAGGGGCGGGGCAAGCTTTGGGGGTCGGGGGCGGGGCGGGGCGCGGGGCGGAGCTGAGCGAGAGCCTCGAGGTCACCAGGGTCCCGCCGCGCTGCGAATTGCTTGCCAGAGCCGTCGGATGGAGGTGCGCACATGCACCGGCTACTTGGAGGGGGGCCGAAGGGAGACAGATTGGAATGTGGGTGTCCATACCTGATTCTAACCGGGGGAGAGGGAAAGGGGCGGGGTGGCTTCGTTAGTGTTTTAAACTTGTGGAGTAAAAGAAGTCTTCCGTTGGGAGAGATGAGTGTCCCTGGATGTGGATGAACAAATGTCTCCTGTAGGACTTGGCCCCCCAACCTGAGGTCGACCCAAGAAGATTATAGGTTTCCTGGGGAGTCTCTGAACGGCATTTTTCTCAGAAATCAGATTCAAGAGGTTAGGAGAGACCTCCTCTCCCACCAGCGGGGGCCAAGTCCAGGTTCTGTGGAGCTCCAGGGCTGCTGCTTAAATAACTGCTTTGATCATAAAGGGGTGGGGGAACTTTTCTGTTAGAAAATTCTAATTGTCCCTCAAGCCTGGCTTCTAGAAAGGAATTGGTTATTTTGCTCTACTTGGGATTCGGGAAATCACTAGAATGGATTTGTTGCTAGGCATCATGTTTTGAAGGAAGCCTGTTTGTTGGAATCAAATCCAAATTCGAATTTCTCGTAGTAGCTGCATGATAAGAGGTGTTAATATAATCGCTATTTAACCTCTGGGGTTAGGTGACCTCTGAGGATATGTACCTGGTGAATGGTTGTCGAGATATATATATATATAAAGCTCTGACACGCAGAAGATGCTTAATAGATGGGAAACTTTTATTATTATACAATAGAACCAGGTGGAGCATTTCAGGAACCAAGAATATATAGAGATTCAGTTATTTTTAAATTCTCTTAATCACCTGCCCACAATTATTCTCTAAATTTCCTGTGAGCCCTGTATGACTCAAAGGACAAAGGAAAAAAGCCAGAATGGAAGTTTCTTAAAAGAACTCAATGAAGTCATTAACAAATATAACCCCAGTTTGATAAGGATCTAGCAAGCCACTACTTCCTCTATTACAGGAACACCTTTACATAGAAGATGCCTTAAGTTTGATTGAAGACATTTCATTCAAACAAGGCAAAAGGAATTCATTATATTTCTTGATCAACACCTTTGAAAACATTAGTTTTGTTGAATTTGCTTAGTATTGATGAATGGGTAATGGCTGACTGGCTATTTCTGTTGTTTTGCTCCAAGGAAGTTTAAGAAAACATTAAATCGGACTGATTAAACTTTCTCTTCTTTGTTTCCTTGTGTCGAGGAAAAAAAAAGAAAAAAGAAAAAATATTTCTCTTCCTACCTCTCTTCCCCACAACAGAAGAATTCAATCCATTCATGTAATGCAGTGTTTTTTATGTTTATTTATTGTTTCTGAAAGTAGGAACAAAGATGAATTAATGACCTTGGAGAATAAAAGTATTTTCTCCACGTGGGGGAGTGGTTAGACAGATCTGGCTTCCACCCTGGACCTCAAGTGCAAAGTGGGGGCACATGCACTACTTACCCCTGTAGCTCTGAATATGGAATGAGAGAAAATAAAGCCCCTGACACATGAAATTTATCAATAATTCTTAGATATTATTATTACTTCTATTATAATATTATGTATTTGAATAAAAATACTACTTTCAGAGTAGCTGTAAGGATTAGAGATCATTTAAGAAAAATGCCTGGCTCAGTATCTGCTTGAACCCATGGTGATTATTTTACTTCTCTGTGATGAACAAGCATTATGTTTCATCTTTATTTGTATAACTTGAGAAACAATTCACCTATCTCTATAACTTTTGTCCAGAAGTTGTTATTGGTGTAATGTCAAAAGTACAGCACAGTTAACTTCAAAAGTAGAGCTCTGGCCTGTGCATTCACACTACTGAGTAAATAAATGACCAAAAGTATCCATCTAGTGAGAGTTTGTTCTATTATAACAGAGCCAAAAACTCATACAAGTATTGAATCATCCCACAACAACTACCTTTTATTAAACTCCCTGGTTTTTTAATGGGTACATTTTTATTACAGATCTGAATGTTAGCAGAGCATTGTGTAAAAAATGTTTAAATAGCATTTAGTGTTTTTCTGATTTTAAAACAATTTGCAACCTAGAGAGAAACAGAAAAAAAAATAAAACCACCCAGAATTCTACCACCCACTAATAACCTCAGTCAATAATTCTGTTTTTCCTTCTAGCATTTTTGTGTGCACATACATATTTACTTTATAAAGTTTTCATTAGATGGTGTACATATTGCTGGCATCCCTTTTTAACATTCTATCTTGAATATTTCGCCAATGTTTTAAAGTCTTCAAAACATGTTTAATAGCTATATATTAAATAATATTATGTAATATGTATAAACCACCAATTTCTCCTTAATTTATTCATCCTGTCCCCAATTTGGAAATTTCCAACTTTTCTCTTGTAATTCATTTTTTCAAAAATATTTGTTGAGTGGTTACTATATACTAGGTACTATGTTAGGCATAAGACTTAACTGATGAACCCTAACTACCAAAAATAAGGTTTTAATGAACATCTTTGTAAACAAATTTTTGATGGCATCTTTCATTCTTATACTGAATTCCTAGAACTATGAAAACATAACTTCAAAAGGCATTCTTTGAGCTTCAAAGGCAAACTTAAGAAACTAAAATTCTGAAGTGTAAAATATTAACTTTTTGGAAAACCACCACCAACAGAATTAATATTTATTTTGTGCAAAGTGTGAACTTACCCAGAAGATGCTTTCTTGTTAGCATACTGTGAAACACCAAGGATATTTGAAGTGTATTGACTTTTGCTTTTACCTCTAATTCTTCCCAGGATTTGCTGGTTTTCTCAATGGGGTGAGATTATTTGAAGTCTATGCAAATTGCCCTACTTCCTCTTCTCGCAGCTAAAATGTTAACTATTTTATTTCCAGCTTTGCTCTTGTAAACATATGGCTCTTCTGCATTTCTTTTATTTACTTTCTCAAGTGAAACATTTGATATCTTCACACTTATTGACCTGAAGGGAGCTTTCTTTCTTCTAAACCGAAATTATAATACACACATTCCTGTAAGGCACTGGATTTATATTCTGTAGTTAACTTTGGGTCAACAAACATCATGTCAAGTAACCAATGCATTTAGGGATTTCATAATGGAGATTATTTATTAAAAGCAATAATAACCTCCCCTGCCCCCCCCAACACACACCTTACTATTCTTTAGCAATCTTCATATATTAGGTCAAACCATATGAAATTGCTATTTATGGATAAGAAATAGTCAAATGATGGCAACTTCATATGGCTCTATCTGTATAAGTGTTTCATTAATTAGTTCATACTTTTTTCAACTTTCTCCAAATACTGAACTTCCTGATTATTATACTAAAGATATCCTTTATTATTGTGCAAGATTGTGTTTGTTTTGACTTTCATAAATATTAGAATCTAAGTCAGGAGGGTACCATAAAATGTTTGTTTATTATTTCAAAGACAGTAGAGGGAGCCTGGAGCCAAAACATTGTTATTGCAGACCTCATGTAAATGATGATTGTCTTCCAATTCTTAATGTCTTTTTTTTTTTTTTTTTGAGACAGAGTCTCGCTTTGTTGCCCAAGCTAGAGTGAGTGCCATGGCGTCAGCCTAGCTCACAGCAACCTCAAACTCCTGGGCTCAAGCAATCCTCCTGGCTCAGCCTCCCAAGTAGCTGGGACTACAGGCATGCATCACCATGCCTAGCTAATTTTTTCTATATATATTAGTTGGCCAATTAATTTCTTTCTATTTATAGTAGAGACAGGGTCTCGCTCTTGCTCAGGCTGCTTTCGAACTCCTTACCTGGAGCAATCCGCCCGCCTCAGCCTCCCAGAGAGCTGGGATTACAGGCGTAAGCCACTGCACCCGGCCTGTCTTCCAATTCTTGATGCGTGGAAGGATTTAAATACTGGTACATATGTGAAATAGCAATGTTTTTTAAAGGGTTGTGCTTAAATAATCACTTTAATAAGATGGGAAGACAGCCGGGCGGGCGAGGTGGCTCACGCCTGTAATCCTAGCACTCTGGGAGGCTGAGGTGGGCGGATTGCTCAAGGTCAGGAGTTCCAAACCAGCCTGAGCAAGAGCGAGATCCTGTCTCTACTATAAATAGAAAGAAATTAATTAGCCAACTAAAATATAGAAAAAATTAGCCGAGCATGGTAGCGCATGCCTGTAGTCCCAGCTACTTGGGAGGCTGAGGCAGGAGGATTGCTTGAGCCCAGGAGATTGAGGTTGCTGTGAGCTAGGCTGACTCTACGGCACTCACTCTGGTCTGGGCAAAAAAGTGAGACTCTGTCTCAAGAAATAAAAAAAAAATTAAAAAAATAAAAATAAGATGAGAAGGGGAAGGTTGGCAGCAGGGTGGGCTGGACTTCATCAGAGTTTGCACTGGGACCAACCGGAATCCTGTTGTTCTCTGCCCTTCTCTGAGTAATGCTAGAGACAGTGCACTGCCACACTAGCACATTTGTGCTGTACAATTTTCCCTCTGTCAGCCTATAATGTAGATCACCCTTTCATTTCCATGGGCATTATATCATAATTCTTTATTGCATCAGAACTTCAAAATATGCTACCTTTTCCAAGTGTGTATCTTGATTTAAAGTCATTGTAGTTTAGTTGATGGCTTCCTCTAGACATGTAAGGAGTCTCTTTGATCCTGTCTACAACTCACAACCTTCTAGGAAGGTGTCTGATAAATTACTGATCCTTTCACAAACCAGGAATTTTTGTTAACCTTAATTAAAGATGATGTCTCTAAGTGGCCTTTCCTCAACTATCTTTATCCTTGGTGCAATCTTTTGTTTAAGTGACCTCTGGCCCTGGTGTCATAAAGGGGTTCCTAAGACAATTGGTGGTATTACCACTATTCTTCACTGTGATAGTCTAGGAAGGGCTCCAAGTCCCCGAGGTGACATGAAACCCTAAATCTAAAGATTAAGATGGAGAAGAACCTCACTATTGTATTAATAAAACTTAAAAGGAACCCACAGAACACAGGTAGAATCAATTGGCTACAGCAGAGTTTCCTACACTGGTGTTAAGAGAAAACTCTTTGGGTATGTTAATAACATGCAGAGAGAAAAAAAAGCAGCGCCCTCCCCAAACTGTTAAACAGGGTGGGTTTTTTTGTTGTTGTTTAATGTAGAATGTCTCTGAGACTTTAATATGCTAATGTACTTTGTCAGTTTCTCAGAGGTAGATTTTTAAGGTGTAGCCTTTCTCAAATTTATTTGACCAGGGAATTTCACTTTTTTTCTTAGCGCTGTTTGGGAACTCTTTGGAGAACTAGATACTTCCTCTGACTGTGATTTGAAGATAGCTTGAAGTGAGAAAAAGGCCCTGTCCCTCCCCAGCTTAATCGGGAATCAACTAACCAC